TGATGCGTGACTTGCGATCACTAACAATGTCTTTGGGCAGGCTGCAATATTTGATGACATGAGAGAAGAAGAGTCGAGTTGTATCTTCTGCTAATATATATTATGGGGTGGCAATAAAGGTAGCATACTTGGGAAACCTATCTACCACAACCAAGATAGTTGTGAGATCTCCGACCTTGGGCAATCCGGTGATAAAATCCAAGGAAACGCTTTCCTAAGGTCTCTTTAGGACAGCTAGTGGTTCCAAGAGTCCCGCTTGTGTCAAGCGGTCCGACTTGTCCTTCTGGCATACTAGATAAGTCTTCACATACTGAGCGATGCCATCGGCCATTTGATGCCAATAATATGCACGGCGAAGCAACGCCATGGTGTGTTCCTCACTGGGATGGCCAGCCCACAAAGTATCATGACATTCCACTAGAAGATTCCTTTGCAGATCTCCTTCTTTAGGAACAAAAAGTCGGTTCCCTTTCACTTTCAGAAAACCATTTTTTATGTAGAACTGGCGAGTCTTGCCCTGTCCTACTAAATCAACCAAATACTATGTAGTAAGATCCTTGATTAGTAGATCATATATCTGGTCCTTGATAGAGATGGCTACTTCGCTCCTCCTTAGGGTGGCGAGTAGGCACACCGATGCTAGATCAACTCTCCGACTGAGTGCATCAACAATATGATTGGTCTTCCCATTTCGATACTCCAGGTTGAAGTGGAATTAAGCTAGGAGTTCCTTCCACCTGGCATGTTGATCATTCAACTTCGGCTGGGTCATGAAATGGCTAACAGTTGTGTTGTCTATCTTGACCACGAACGGGGTCCCCAACAGATAGTGCCTCCAAAGGCGCAAGCAGTGGATGACAACTAATAATTCTGTCTCATGGGCGGCATAGCGCCGCTCTGCATCCTTCAGCTTCCAGCTCTCGTATGCTACATAATGCCCTTCTTGTAGCAAGACTCCGCCAAGGGCATAGTCGGATCCATCCATTTGTACCTCGAATGGCTTGGCTAGATCAGAGAGGGACAAGATGGGGCTACTAGACATAGCCGCTTTTAATGCATTAAAGGCCTCTACTGCCTGGGTCCCCAATCCCAGGGAGTGACCTTCTTGAGAAGTTCTGTCAATGGCACTGCGATGAGGGAGTAGTTCTTCACAAATCGTCGGTAGAAATTGCATAGGCCAAGGAACGCTCTCAAGGCATGGATATCCTTAGGCGACGACCAATCTGTGATTGTATGAATCTTCTGTTGGTCCATCTTGATCCGCCTTTCCTCGATGACATGTCCAAGGAAGTCAATTTGCTTTTGAGGAAAGGAGCACTTGGATAACTTCGCATATAGTTCATGCTCCCACAATCGAGCTAGGACCTTCTGCAAGTGAACCAAGTGTTCTTCCAATGTTTGGCTATATACCACAATGTCATCCAAGTAGACCACCACGAATTCGTCAATGAACTTTTGGAAGACTTAGTTAATCAGGGTGCAAAATGTAGCTGGGGCGTTAGTCAAGCCGAATGGCATAACTAGGAAGTCGTACGATCCATATCTTATCACATAGGTCGTCTTGTGTTCATCACCCTCTGCAATCCGAACTTGCCAATAACCTATCTTTAGGTCTATCTTGGTGAACACCGTCGCATCACCCAGTCTATCGAACAAATCTGCCATTAGCGGAATAGGGTACTTGTTCTTCATTGTGATTTTGTTTAGAGCCCGATAATCCATACAGAGTCGCAGGCTGCCATCATGTTTCTTTTGGAATAGAATAGGGGACCCATATGGGGACTTGGAGGGCACAATGATCCCTATATCTAGAATTTCCATCAATTGTCTCCAAAGCTCGGTGAGTTCGGGTTGTGACATTCTGTAAGGCGTCCGGGCGGGTGGCTTCGTGCCTGGCACCAACTCAATTTCATGGTCCACAGTGTGCCTAGGTGGGAGTCACTTTGGAATGTCTTGTGGCATGACATCTTCAAACTCCAGTAGTAGCTCCTTCACGGGTTCAGGAATGGGACTCGAGGAGCGTTCTATATCTTCAATGCAGAGGGTTTCCATGAATGTAGATTCATATCTTTTGACCCCTTCTTCAACTGCAAGGCCGGGATGCTCTGAACGGCCATCTTCATGGGCATGCACGGGATAATGCAGGGCTTGGCCCCATTTGTTCCCATCATCAGTAGCATGTCTGCATATGGTACGAGCATGGTGTTGGTTTTCCTTAGGAATTCCAACCCAACTATCAACTCGAAGTCATCTATGATCACCACTCGTAGGATGAATTTTCCTTCGTAAGGGCCAAGCTTCACCGGTACCTCTTTGGCTATTCCACCCACTGGATGAGGAGGTGAGTTAATAGACTTAACACGACCTCTACCCTTTCCTACAACTAGACCAAGGCGCTCCACCTGAGTCGAGGCTAAGTAGTTATGGGTAGCACCTGTGTCTATCATCGCCCGAATGGGCTTGCCATTCATCTTCATCTCGACGAACATTAAGGTCCTCTCTTGTTTAAGAGGAGTCCTCTCATCCGACTTCTTTTTCCCTTTCTTATTTATTGGACATGGATCCTTCTTCTTATGGATACTAGCACTGGTCTCTGCTAATGTCTCAGAAATAGAGCCAACAATTTCATTGAAAGCACTTACTAGTTTAGTCTGATCCGCATCATCTGAGTCATCATCCGTCCTATCATCAAAAGCCTGATGGGCGTTCATCTGTGCATGTGGCCATTCATTGTTCCAATGTGGTCCGCCGCAATGACGGCATCCTGAAGGAGGCTTTCTCCCCCGATCATTGTTGTTTGACGCAACACTAGTGCTTCCTGAGGAGGGAGCCTTAGATTTGGTTGCACTCCGATCTTCCCCACTTCTACTAGGGCCACCATTGCTAGGTTGGCCCCCTTTGAATCTCGCTCGGGTAGGTGGCTGAGGCCTATCCTTCCGAGCTTCCACTTGCTAGTCCCCAAGGCATTCAGCTGCTTGGATCGCCTTGGGTAGGGTATCCACCCTTTGTCTTTGCAGTTCCATACGGGCATAAGGTTTCAACCTTTCCAGGAAGGTGAAGAGCTTGTCTTTGTCCCCCATGTCACGTATGTTTAGCATGAGCACCGGAGAATTCCCGCACGTAGTCCCGCACTGATTTGGTCTGGCGGAGCGCCCGTAGCTTTCTCCTTGCATTGTATTCAATAGTCTCGGGGAAAAACTATAGGCATATGGTTGCCTTCTATTCTGCCCATGTCTCGAGAGCATCTTCACCGGCCCTGATGGATTCGTGCTTCACCCGCCACCAGAGTTTAGCATCACCTTGGAGATACATGGCAGCAGTTGCTACCTTCTTAGCTTCTTCTAGGCCCCCAACAACATCGAAGTACTGCTCGATGTCAAAGATGAAGTTTTCTACTTCCTTGGCATTCCTAGCTCCACTGTATGGCTTTGGCTCAGGAATTTTCAGTTTTTGTGTCGCGGAAACGGGGTTCATAGCGCCCCCGATTTGGTTTCCACTGCCTCGAAGCAGGCCATGTAAAGAAGCATTAACAACATTGAGCTTGTCTGTCAAGTCGTCAATAGTTTGTCATGGCAGTCACCCTTTCTGCCTCTTGTACCCTGTAAGCTAAATCCTCGGCACGCTCCTGTTGGAGTCCCTCAAATTTGCCAAAAATTTTGGCTGCCTCTGTGGCTGCTATTTGCCGGTCTCCCTCGGAGTCGCGACTGATGTTTTCTATGTCAACTTCGGCCTGGAGCACCTTGCGGTCCAGGTCGTCCAACCTTTTCCCTAGGCTGGTTCTTAATTCATGCACCGTATCCACGATGGGCCATAATCCGTTAACCGTCTGTTCAAGGGCCGGATGCGGTCCCCATGATTCACCATGGTCAGAAATGGTGGTAATGACAATGTGTTCCCCCGTCCGATGTCGAGCCTAGGCTACCAACTGTTACACGACGCCTTCCTGAGATTCCTTGGAAGGGCGACGTAAGGCTAAGCAACTGATGTCAGTGCAGTTACTGTCCGCCAACTGAGGTCCCCTCCGTACGCTAGACTAGATTGTCAGTGCCGTACGGGAAAACCAATGTCAAGAGCAATTGAGAGAACAAAAATGAGAATTGAGAATGAAAGAAATCTTGATTGCATTAATGAAAGCTATTATAGAAAAGCAACACGCTGTCAAGGGGGAGAGACACCAGTACGGAGAATTGTTTGCTTGCTAGAAAGTTTGATTGCTTGATCCCCCCTAATAATGCTTTAAAAAAATAAACCAAAGCTATAAGACTAGACTTGACTAAGCTAGAGAAACATAATGGAAGTACATGAAATAAAATTATTCTATATTTACAATGAAAAGGACTTAGTTTTCTACAAGGTAGAAACAGGTCCGTTGTCAGCAGCATTGTCTTTGGCATCACGGTCTGCGCGCGCGGCGTTATCTACGTGCACGGCGTTGTCTGCGCGCGCGGCACTGTTGGCATCTGCTTGCGGCTGGGCGCTGACGAGAGATATCGGTGGGGCGACAGAGGCACATGTGCGCTTGTCACTTGGCGTGGCTAAGACCATGGGGCCGCCCGTGGCGCTAGGCATTGGGAGGCTTGCTAGGACGCCACAGGGCACGCCCATGGGGTCATGGGGCATGGCTGGAAAGCCGCCCATGACATGTATCATGCCGAAACCGCTTCTACAGTGAAGGTAAAATGACATGCACTAATAATAATTTAACTATTTCAGTAATATTCCTCAATTTGTCCTTTTTAAACGTTCTCTATATATATTTCATGTCCCCCTATTTCATATGACACGTCCGAGAATTACTCTACTGGAAATTTTAATGTTGCTTTTATATGGTGGATATAGTTTAGAATTATATTTTCTAAACCTTAGCTTCCAGAATAATTTGAAAAGACCAAACATCTTGTAGAAGAGTTAGGAAGTAGGAAATTAAGTACTCATAACTCAATGATTTACCGTCTGCAAAATATAATGAATCAGGCCATTGAGTGTGTGAAATGTACTTGTACATTCAAAAAGAAAAGTGCTTAATTTGTTCAATATTTATGAGAAAATCAAAATCTAAAAGAAAATGATGACACATCCATCACAATCTAACGAATTTGTGATGAACCATCTTTACATAAGCAAAAATCTAAGATAGACAAAAACCTTCTTACAATGATTCTCTTTATGACAAAATTAAAGACGGTATTTTTGTTGAGTGAGCTTTAGTTTATAAAATGGAGCTGAATATTGTGGCATATGACAAAGTGGGTACATTCACTAAGGGTAAATAACAGAGAGTATGGCTGCAGCTTCAATGAGTATCCTCCTGATGAATCTCCACATGGCGAAGATCTTGAATATCTGTCTCCTGCATGTCACGCTCACAAATATATAATCAATTCTCACACCCTTATATAAATGTTGAAATTGGTGCAGGAAAATAACCATGGAAAAAGTGTAGTGCAAGATTTGTTCGTATTCGCACCTGAAGGAGTGGACGGAGAGATTTCCGGAGAACCAGTTGGCGAAGTTGCTGAAATGTTTATATTCACAATACAGATTAAAACAATGATCTTTCGTCATAATTAGAGGGAAATGAAAAGCTTCGGGAAAAAATAAAAAGAAAGAAGGGCAAAGACGTTGCTACTCCTTAAAGATATTGAATGACTTTAATTATAAAAGTGATTGTTAGTTGTCATTCATTTTTCTGTTAGTGATCGTTTGGTACAGCAGTGAGATATCCCAAAATATACCACGGGGGAGGGGATATTCATAGGATTAGCTATCCCGTATTTTATATGGGATAATTATTCCACCGTTTAAGTGTAAAATTAGTTAATCCAGGGATTAATTAGCTAATATTTCAAATCAAACATATGATAAATTTAATTCCGAACTTTATCCCGGGATTATTATTTTTATTTCATGTATCAAACGACCCTTAAATGTCACTTAACAGATATTTTAGTTAAGATGTGTTTGGAAAAACTTTTTAGTTTGTCCTAAAAAGAATAGTACCTTTCTAGTCATGGGAGTAACTTAATTGACTTCAAAATATTCATTTTATCCTTAATGAAATGATTTATAGACATACAAATATCTAAAGCTTGTTTTAGAATACAAGTTTCAAAAGTTGTTATTTCTTTCCTACACTCCATGAAGTCAAACATATAGTTTTACATAGACGCGAAAGTAATAAATACTTCTTCTATTTTTAAAGACAAATATATTAAGAAAATTCAGTTAGTCAAACGATTACTATTTGGGAATTAAGGAAGTAGTGATAAATTAAGCGTACCTTTACATAGGCTAAGAGAGGGAGTGTGGGCATTACAAGCTTTAGGAAGAGCCAAAGCAAGTGTCTGATTGACATTGACTCCAAAGGATGAGCCCTCGCCATTCAAAACCTGACACAAGCACTGAGGCTGCGTCTTGACCATAGGGGCGAGCTGAGTGCAGCATCCTGATGACGGGCTCGTGGCATTCCCTTCTATGTATTGCAGGCACGGAGCTAACCCAACAACCACCTGTTGGCAATCCGATTGAGCACTGACATGTAATGAAAGAAGAGCCACTGCTACAAAACTTATTGCACTTATTGTGCTCGTTGAGATCTGCATTTTACTTGAATACTGTTCTGTAAATTGCTTCTTAAATGGTCTCTACTATTGAGATATATATACATATATATAGATAGGGTGCAAATTAAAAGTCAAGAGGAGAATATAAAGGAAAAGTTGGGGAAATAAATTAATGCATGCAGATGGGAAAACGAATGTGGGTTAACTACTTTTCCTACTTTATAACCATAACTTAGGAAACAACTACTAATTTTTTGATGATCTCTGCGAAACTTAAAATTGAAAAATAGGCACACATGTTATTTGCTATGGTCAAAGGTAGGGGTGTTCAAACCGAATCGGAAAATCGCACCAAACCGAAAAACTAAACCAAACCGGTTAAAAAAAACCCGACTAGGTTTGATTTGACTTGGTTTGGTATTGAATAAAAAAAAATCGAACCAAACTGACATATAAATATATAAATTTTATTTATATTTTTATGACTTTATAGTGAATTTTCTTTAGAAAATATAAAAATATTTGGGATCTTCTCGTGTATTAACCTTGAAAGCGTAAATTAACAAAAAATTATTGTTAGACGACTAAGAAAATAACTATCATGTGTTACTAAAAAAATTCTCTCATTAGAATATTTTAATAGATCATATGTTTGCCAATTTTTTTCCATATTTACTAAATATATATTCATTTATCAAAGTTTTATCTATAATTTTAACAAAATAAGATTGAAATAATATTCATATAACAAAAAAACCCAAAAATCCGAAAAACCCGACAAAACCGAACCAATCCAAACCGATATAGTTAGTTTGGTTTGGTTTTGATAAAAACCGAACCAATCCAAACCGATATAGTTAGTTTGGTTTGGTTTTGATAAAAACCGAACCAATCCGGTTCATGTACACCCCTACCCCTAATCCAAGGTTTTGTGATGGTAAAGGACCACTCTTTTGTCTCCGCGTCTCAAGGATAGGTACAAAGGTCAATATCACATTTTGTATTCACAGAGTAAAATCAAAGCCAAAATCGCCGTTTGGCCTTTTATGATTTGGACATCACTCCTTGACCAAGAAATCACCGAATTTTCATGCCTGATGAAATCAAAAGTTTGCCCAAAGTAGTAAAGGGGAATCAACTCATTTGATGTTCGCCATAGGAATCCAGAATTCCATTTCCGAATCCCGCAACAACAATAACAACGACAACGACCCAGTATAATCTCACAAGTGGGGTCTGAGGAGGGTAATATGTACGCAGACCTTACTCCTGCCCCGAAGGGTAGAGAGGCTATTTCCAGGAGACCCTCGGCTCAAAAAAAGCAACATGAGCCAATATATTAGTACCATAAAAATGCATAATAAAATAACAGCAGTATAAGAGATATGAAATACAGAATACGAAATACGAAATAGATGGCTGGTATAGTAAAACTAGCAGGTAAAGCCCTGCATCAATAGCCGACCAATGACATTATTAGTCTAACTCCTAACTGGCTAGTCTCACTCTATTGTGTTGTAGAAATATTCACAACTTTCCCCTAACCTACAACCTTAATGCTCGACCTCCATAATTCCCTGTCAAGGGCCATGTCTTCCGTAGTCCTAAGTCGCGCCATATCCTATCTGATCACCTCTCCCCAATACTTCTTATGTCGCCCTCTACCTCTCCGCGTGCCCACTATAGTCAGTCGCTCACACCTCCTCACCGGTGCATCAGTGCTCCTCCTCTGAATGTGCCCGAACCACCTGAGTCTCACTTCCCGCATCTTGTCCTCCATGGGAACCACGCCCACCTTCTCTCGAATATCTTCATTCCTAATCTTATCTTTCCTTGTATGCCCGCACATCCACCTCAACATCCTCATCTCTGCTACTTTCATCTTCTGGATGTGTGAGTTCTTTACCGGCCAACATTCAGTTCCATATAACATGACATGCCTAACCACTGCTCTATAAAACTTACCTTTTAGTAACAGTGGCACTTTCTTGTCACACAAGACTCCCGACGCTAACTTCCACTTCATCCACCCCACCCCTATACGGTGTGTGACATCCTCGTCAATCTGCCCGATCCCCTGAATAATCGATCCAAGGTACTTGATGCTACCCCTATTGGGAATGACTTGAGAGTCAAGCCTCACTTCAACTCCCGCTTCCATCGGCTCAACTCCAAATTTGCACTCGAGGTATTCCGTCTTCGTCCTACTCAACTTGAAACCTTTAGACTCAAGAGCATGTCTCCAAATCTCTAGCCTCTCGTTGACGCCGCCTCGTGTCTCGTCAATTAGAATAATGTCATCAGCAAATAGCATGCACCATGGCACCTCCCCTTGAATATGATGAGTCAGTGCATCCATCACCAGGGAAAATAGGAATGGGCTGAGCGCAGACCCTTGGTGCAACCCCGTAATAACTGGGAAGTATTCAGAGTCGCCTCCTACTGTCCTAACCCGAGTCTTAGCTCCAGCATACATGTCTTTAATCACCCTAATATAGTCAACCGAGAAGTGTTTACCAAGCAGAGATAAATCAAAGGCACCCTCCTCACTCTTACTTCTTTCTGTTCAATGTATTGACTATTCCCACTTATTTTACTTTTCCTAGCCCAAAAAATTATTGGCCTCTCAATTTTGTGTCAAATAGTTTCTCTTCTTTCTTTCCTCCTTTCTTTGTTGTTTTCTTAATAAAAAATAAGAAGATATCATCATGTTTAATTTGTGGTCCTAGGTTTGAGTCTAACAAAAAAAAAAAAAGAAGCATGCAGGTGAGGGGCGTGTTGAAGACACAATTAAATAAATAAAAATATGCTCTCTCTAACAGTTTAAGCTTTTAAATGAGATGATCACGTATTTCAAACACGTTGAACCTTGAATGAATACAAGAGGGACAAATAACTCCTTATGAATCTCTAATCAATTTTTTATCTGCTCCGATCCTTCATTTCCTCTCTGCTTTAGACTCTTAAATTATGAAAATTTCTGTTCCCATTGTGGCTGAATGCGAATTTATTCTTTCTTTGTTATGCAAAGGCCTTGCCAAGGATCAACTAATTACAATCAGCAACAACCAAAAAAGAAAGTGAAGGTAAAAAAGGATAAAGAAATAAATAGTGCGAGAATGATTTTGACAATGAGCTAGAATTGACAATCCAAGACTTCAATGAATAACTCATAGTAAGTGTAGACACAATACAGGGCATGCAGTCATACATGGTGAATTTTGTATATTTTGGATAATTTTAGTCTCTATAGTTTATGCTAGTTAGTTGATCGAGGGCATGGAATTACTAGCATGACTCTGCTGTGAATTTATACTGAAACTTGAGAAGAGACTACATCACTTGATAGTGTGGGTGTCCAACTTTACCAAATTGAAATATAAATCTCTATAGTCGAGAACCAATTGGTTCTAGACTATTGATAATTAAAGAAAGAAAGGGAAAGTTTGATTCATTGTTACGCCAGTTATCATTATAAAATAGAAATATATAATGGAGCAGGCAGGCTTGGTTGCAACAAGGAAAGAAGTGTGCCAATCAGAAAATATATACTGTTATTTTACAGTTGGTAGTGCTTAGGTAATAGGTGGTCTAATTGACACAGAAAGATAGCTGAACTTGTTTGCCGTTGCTGAATTCTATAAGATGTTTATGTGTACTTTACTTATAAAAGTGTCAATGATTGTGATTGTCCCTTTTCTTTGTCTTTTTTCCTTTTATTTTTTTAAGTTTATTACTTTCTACAATCTGTAGCTTTTTCTCCCTTTTAATGAAAAGTGATTTTACAACCGGAAAAGACATCAAAGACCTTTTTATTTATTTATTTATTTATTTATTTTTGTCTTTTTCACTTAGGAGGTCGTTTGGTTAGCATATTAACATGGAATAATGCGAATACTATTTATGAAGTAATTAATTATAATGAAGGAATTGTTATGTGGTGATTTCTAGTGATCTGTTATACAAGAAATACTACATTAATTAAGGATATTTTCGTCTATAAATAGTCTAATTCAGGTATTGTTAATACATGTATTCTTATCTTATATCCTACTACAACAATAATAACACTTCAGTCTCAAACTAGTAGGAATTGGAAATACGAATCCTTAGTTACTATATTCCTTAATATAAATATTCGAGATGTATACAAAAACATGTATATTCTCTAAAAGTATAAATCTACGAAAGGTTGAACTACTCTGGAGAGTATAAGACCTAAAGTAAAAAATGCTAACTTCTAAAACAAATTCTCAACTTATATATATCGTGTATATAAATCTTTTTCTTCCGTTGTATCTTATATTTTGCCAAGCCTGTATGATCCTCAGAAATTATCTATCATTTGAAATAAATTCCTTCCAAGTGATTTTCATCCACGAGGCCTATAGTTTCACACCTCCAGACTGATATATTTGGAGGTCGAAAAATGACATGACCAAACCATCTCAAGTGATATTTCTCTCATTTTATCCTCAATTTGTGCTACTTGAAACGTAACCATTTCTAATCTTATCCAATCTTGTACTACCACACATTAATCTTAGCATCAACATTTTTATGGGCACTTATTTTATGAATGTATTAAATTGTTGCGGCTCAACATTTAACCCCATACTAAGCACCACCTGTCTTATGACTGTAAGCACGTGATTTTTGCCCTATATGAGAATTACTCCCAAAAAATTCAAAAAATAAAATAATTTTTCTTGGTGTGCCATTTTTGTGATATTTTGTGACATTTTGAATAATTATTTGTATTTGTTTGTGCATGTTTATTTGCTAAATTAATAAAAAATACAAAATATGTCGCCTTTCGCATGTAGGATTTAATTCTACAATTGTTAGTAATTAAATTTGTTTTACAAAAAAATAAAAATTACAAAAATAGGCATCGTTTGCATTTTTAGCATTTAATGTCCAAATATACAATTTTATGCTTAATTATTACTTAATTGTGCGTTAATTGTTATTGGGAGTTAATTTGCGCTTTTATAACTTAATTTAATTCTTAATAATAGTTTAAGTATTTTTATAATTTAGTTTTAGAGAAATAAAAGAAGAAAGAGAGCGAAAATATAAAGAAAGTCGGAATTGGGCCTCTTCTTCGATTTCAAGCCATAGGCCCAAAAAATGGCCCAACCTTCCCTACGACCCAGTCCATTTCGAACTGGGTCGACCCAGTGCATAACCCAACACCCCTATTATTTTACAAACAAAATAAAATAAAATTAAAAAAGAAAAAAACCCTAAAAAGACCTAAGTCATCCCCCCCCCCACTTTTGCTTCTTCTTCTCCAAGTTTCTCCCTAGCATCAATGGCTTCCCTTCCATCCTCCTC